CAGGTCAAATGACTAATCCTTCGCATGAAAGTGACGTTGACCAGGCTACCCTTCCGTGTTTGCGTACTAGGTTCAAAGTTCCTTCAAGATATCGAGTATTAACGAGCAGTCACTAGGCACGAAAGGATACCGGCTGTGACTAGAACCTGAATTAGTTTGTAGTTATAGTAAACCTCGCAGCATCTACCGCACTCATCCCTCTTTCACCCACTTAGGCTGAGTTTCAAGGCACAGTCAAGCATATCACAGACTGGATCGGACGTAGGTGGCTGGAACGGTGCAAGTTTGCGCCCGGACGTGTATTTGTTCTGGGTAAGCATCCCCGACAATACCTATCGGGCCCTGCTCTAACTCCGGTGTTCGTTCAGCATATATACTACGTGGCCCGCTGTAGGGGCCAACACAAATCTGTGAATGTACAGGGCTGTTATCCTGACCACGCTTCGGTGTTGGACGTAGACATTTTTAGTCTAAGAAGGACTATCAAGAAAGCTGGATCATTTTGCTCTCAGTTGCCTCCGGAGAATACTAAAAGGGCAGTGAGAGAAAAGGACTAGAGACAGCGTGTTCCTGAACAACCGGTGATCTCAGTATCAATGCTACATTGAGATAGATGGAACCACGTTGAAATGGCCACACTATGTGAAGGGATAACAAACGCCTGCCCGAAAGGCTATTCTATAGTGATGGCAGTGCGAGGGTTCGGAAAAAGAGGGTATAGTGGTCGATAAAAGAATAAAATGAAGCTGCCTTTCAAGCTCAGTTAAATCAAGTCAGTAGGCAACCGAATAACCACTGCCTAGGCCAAAAGAGAGCAGAGTAAAATTCTACATTGCTCTCCGACGCCCGGCATCCAGCTTCGTCTCTGCCGGCTGTGAAGCATCAGATAACAATACAAATAATGACTATAGTACAACAGATGACTCCTACAAAGTCCAGCTTTCGTGCCCCAAATTCTAATGGTCAGCCAGTCGTCCCATGATCCTTCTCGTCCTGGAAGCTTCAACGTCCGTTGACGCCAGACAAACTCCGATGTCAAGTCCCGTCGTTGTTCCTCTTTACGTGCACAAAAAACACAGGTCAGTCAGGGAATACAGCCGACCGTTTTCTTTGATATCTCTAACCGGTGAGGTTGTCTCTAGCGGTCTTTTTTGGGTCCTTATGTATTAAAGCTAC